CCAATTTTTTTGACATCGGATAGACCTTGTCGAAGTTAGACAATTTTTAACCGACTTCCAAAAAAGGAGGAGGTTATCAGTTCGTCGGAATATTTTATTTTTTTTATGTATGTTACCGCATAACTTTGGACCACGTCAACCGATTTCGATAATTCTTTATGCATCGGAAAGGTAGTGTCTCAGAGGTGGTCCCATACTAATCTGGTTAAGATCCGATCAGCGGATCGTGAGATATATATATTATATATTTTTTTTTTATATGAGAGTTGAAGTCGGTTTTTTTTTTTAAATTACTAGTTTCCTAAATACGGCCGTGAATTTATATATGTTTATGTACTGGATTTTCAGATATTATTCATAGCGTGGCCAAACAACTCAAAACTGATATAACTAATGGACCTTTAACAAAAAAACAAAGGTTTTCCATTGCAAGTTAATAAAAAATTAGTGAAGAGGGCCCTTTAATTGAGCAACGGAAAAGTCCAAACACTATGCAATGGCCCGTAATACTTAACACTACTCGAATATCTTATGCTTCATTTTCTATAATTGTGATTAGAAGGATAAATTCAATTAACTGATTTAGGGCAATTCAATGTCGAAAAGTGAAAGAAATGTATAATAATTAATAGTCTTAAAAAACCAATTTAAGATTTTTTTCGGCCATTAAAAAATTATGCATGAGTTTTTTTTTTTTGAAAAATGAACGGTATAGATGTAAATTGCTAAAAACCTTTACACCGTTCTTTCCAAGATGGCGGCGTTTCCCTGAGACCAGCTTATCTATTTTTAACGTCTCTTTAACCTGTTCAACAATAATAAAAACGATTTATGGACCTTACCAAAAATCGCCAGCTAGCCCAATTTTTACACCACTTTTACTGTATTAAGCATAGAGATCCCTAAGACTCTGAAAATATCATTATATATTTTTTTAATGTAAATTAAGTCTGAAAGCAAAAAATTAACTGTTTCTAATAATAATATTTTAAAAATCGTTCCAATTTGTCGATTTAGGTACTTTATATTTTTAATTTTTCAAGACTTGGCTAATTTAATACATTTTTGGTCAGACAATAAATTTCAGTTAACACATTTTGTCTCATGTCTTTCAAGTTTTTACCTTACAAGATCTGCATGTTGGATTGAAGTTCCTTAAACAGCAACAAATGCTTCGAAAAATCTAACAAACTTGAGTTTGAAAGACATTGTCAGAAAATCAACATTCAGTCGACTCAATGAATGATTGAAAGAAATAACTAAATGCATTCAAGTTATCCATTTTCTTAATGCAATTTCTGTTGTTGCTGTTATTGCTTCCTCCATTATTTTTTTTGTTTAAACCATAATCAACTTTCGCCTGTAAGTGCAGTAAACTTCGTTGAGGGAGTCATGGCGCTTTTGATAATCGTAACCAAAGCGCAGCTTCACGCACGAACAACGCGCACTCGCGTTCAGGGAAAGCAGAAAAGCCAAAAGAATGGCGGGCCTAAAAAGTTCAGGCAGTGATTGATGAAATATTATCGCTTGGAAACCAAACGCCGACGTAATGTTTTAATGTTAACCTTAAGCACGAAAATTTAATTTTACAATAACAATTTCCACCAGTATCTTACAAACACATGTACGAAGTGCATGCTCATAACGATTCATAATAGTGAAATTATATTTGATGCAGCCCTTTTTACGATTCAGTTTCAATTACCATTGAATTTGCTTTTAGTAGTGGGTGTTAACTGGAAGATGCAATCAGTAGCTGACTGAAGAAACGAAAGTCGAACATTATTGGTAAAACAAAATGCTGTTAGGTAAATATTTTTATTCTTTTACTGCTCGTGCGCATGCTACTGTTGGAGAAATATCGATGGATGGTTGGTTGGTTGGTTGCAGTGCTTCCTAGTCGCTGCCCAGGATACAATTAGCGCATTATTGCGCCATTTTGATGCACTTCTCGCGGGGGATAAATATCTTGTCTGTGCACTTCCTATGTTGCTAGGTCGAACCATTTCGACTCTCTAATGAATCTGCCGATTTCGCTAATGGTAGCTCCTGATAGGTCGGTTAGTTCAGCTATTAGATGTTTCCCTAACGTCTTGTGTCTAATGTTCGAAAGGCCTGGACATTCACACAGGAAATGCTGGACACTTTCTTCGCTATCTTCTAGTTGACAGCTGCGGCAAATCATATTATGGGGTAGACCTATTTTTGCCGCATGTTTGCCTATGGGCCAGTGGCCTGTGATGGTTGCTGAAATTCTGAATACCTCTGGCCTTGATCTGCTAAGCAGGTCTAAGGTTTTCGCCCTGTTATAGTCAGGCCATAGTTTTCTCGCTATCCTACAAGTCTGTATATCTGACCACCTGCGTCTAGCCAGTTCAAGGAAATGCGTAGTAATCTCTCTTTGGACTACTCCAAGAGGGCAACCCAGTGCCACTGCCTGGGATTCATCCAAACCGGCTCCTGCCTTCGCCAACTCATCCGCCTTCTCATTGCCTTCTATGTTCCTATGTCCGGGAACCCAGACAAGAGAGACGGTATTTGACTGAGACACTGAGCGCAATATTACTTTGCATTCCCCAACTAGCTTGGATTTGGTAACCGGTGACGCTATTGCCAATAGCGCCGCCTGGCTGTCAGAATATATTGTTGCTTTACTGCTGTGTCCAACCCTATTGCCTAGGATTTTGCAGGCTTCTAGGATCCCTAGGACTTCCGCTTGGAAGATGCTTGTATTATTTCCCAACCGCAGAGACAGAGCCACGCCTAGTTCCTTGGAGTAGACACCTGCTCCCACACCGCAATCCATCTTGGATCCATCGGTGTATAGAGAGATCTCTTCTCGGTCGGCCACTCGGTCTCTTCTCCAGTCCCTTCTGGATGGGAATAGCACTTGCGCGTTACAGCTGAAGTCCAAATTGCCTACCATATAATCTGTCGTCCTATTTAGTTGCATTTGATTTATGATCAACCCATGTCCGAAGTGTCTAGTCCTCCAAAGGCCCGACTCTCTGAGTCTGACCGCCGATTTCATAGCCACTTCTTTCAGGTGGAGATCAATAGGAATTAAATTGAGGATGGCGTTTAAAGCTTCTGCCGGGCAGGATCTTAGTGCGCCTGTTACTCCTGCGCTTGCTGCCCTTTGTATGCTTCTTAGCTTGCTGACATTATATTGTCTGCTTAGGCCGGGCCACCAAACCAAGGCGCCGTATGTTAGAATTGGTCTTATGATCGCGGTATACATCCACATCACAAGTTTAGGATTTAGTCCCCAGTTTCTACTGAAGATTCTCTTGCAAGTGTAGTATGCTATGTAGGCCTTCTGTCTACGGAATTCGATATTGGTTTTCCAGTTAAGTTTGTTATCGAGCACGACTCCAAGATACTTTGCGCTGGGGGACAATGAGAGCGCATTGCCGTCCAGCGATGGTAGCTTGAATTGTGGTAGTTTGTGTCTGTTTGTAAATAGGATAAGTTCTGTCTTCGCTGGGTTCACATTTAGGCCGCTTCTCGTAGCCCAGGCGTGTAGTCTTCCCAGGGTTCCTTCAAGGATTTCGCTAACGGTAGAGAGGAATGGACCTGTGGCTGCTATTACAACATCATCCGCATACGCCACAACTTTGACTCCCCCTCTATTGAGTTCTAGCAATATACCGTTCAGGGCTATCACCCATAGCAGTGGTGAGAGCACTCCGCCCTGTGGAGTGCCCCCTGTTCACATGATGTGTAATAGAGTTAGCCCCATTTGTTGCCTGAATGATTCTATTGACTAGCATCGATCGTATCCATCTACAAACACTGTCGTCAACACCAATATCTATCAAAGATTCTATGATGGTGTCAACCTCAATGTTATTAAATGCGCCCTCGATGTCAAGAAATGCCGCCAGAGTATATTGTTTAAAGTGCAACGATCTTTCTATTAAGCTCACCACTTCATGCAAAGCAGATTCAGTGGATCTGCCTTTGATGTATGCATGTTGTGCTGTTGAGAGTGTCGCTTCACCTAACAGCGATCGTATATAAATGTCGAGAAGCCTTTCCATTGTTTTAAGCACAAAGGAGGTAAGGCTTAGGGGTCTAAAATCTTTTGCTGTTTCGTGGTTTTTCCTTCCTGGCTTGGGTATGAACACGACTTTTACCCTTCTCCAGCTTTTAGGAATGTAGCACAAGGTAATGGTAGCCTTAAAAAATAGTCACGAGTAACGGTGCTATCTCTCCCTTCACCCTCTGGAGCATTGCTGGGATTACGCCATCTGGTCCAGGGGATTTGAAGGGAGAGAAGCTGTTAATAGCGTAAATAATCTTTTCCCTGCTCACGATCGAGTTCAACAGTATACTGCTAGTTGAACCAGGTTCAATTGACCCTGATGTGGGTGGATGTCGAATACATCCTGGGAAATGGAACTTGACTAACGTGTTTAGAGAATCACTAGCTGTGTTCGTCCACACCCCGTTTTCTCCCTTAATGAGTGTGATATTTGTGTGTTCTTTTGATAGGATTTTGCTGAGCCTGGCTGAGTCTTTAGAGTTCTCTATAGAAGAGCAGTAAGATTGCCAGGATTTAGTTTTAGATTTTCTCAACTCCTTTTTATAAGATCTGAGGGCGCTTTTATAAGGCGCCCAGTTTTTAGTTCTAAAGCAATCATTGTAGATTTTCCTTAATTTGTCTCTTTGGGCTCTGAGATCCCCATTCCACCAGGGTGGGGATTTCTTTCTTGCTGTACTAACTGGAGTTGATCTTTCAAAGGCTTTCTTCATAACCTCTTCCAGTTTATTTACTCTATTATCAAGGTCCTCAACTGTAGTGACAGTTGTATTTAGTGGGAGCTTACTTAGTTTATGCTTAATTGTGTTACTATATCTTTCCCAATTAGTCCTGTGGGGGTTTCTGTATTTTGAGGGGGTGCTGGAAATTCCGTGCAGATTAAAGAGGATCAGACGGTGATCAGACATTGAAGGCCTATCAGATACTCTCCACTCTTCTACAGACACGCTGTCGTTCTCTGACAACAGGGTCAGATCCAGCACCTCCTCCCATCCAGGAAACCGGTTTGAACTCGGGAATATGAATGTGGGTGTATTACCTCTATTGCAGATGCTTAAGTTAGTATTTAATAAGAAGTGTAGTAAAGACTCACCTCGGTCGTTCTCCGTAGAACTACCCCAAACTGGATGCCTTGCATTCGCATCGCAGCCGACGACTATAATTTGTCTGGGGTTTTTGGCTATTATCTCCTGGATTTCGGTTGGCGGACTGTCCCTATCGTGGGCCATGTATGATGAGACCAGGAGTATACTTGGCTGTCCGGTGGTCTCCACCTTAACCGTTGTTGTATCTGATGTGCTGAAATTAGAGCAAAGGAATGCATTTATACCGTTCTTGATAAGAATACACGCCCGCGGTTTACCCACCTCGCTCTTATAGTAGAGTTTATAATTGTTTATATTTAGTCCCATGATTGTATCGTGCTTGACCCAGGGCTCTTGAATTAGGCTAATGTCTATATCCTCCTCACTGAGAAGGACAACTAGATTATCTGTAGCACATTTGGAGTGCTGCAGATTTATTTGGCCTACTTTAAGTTTCCGGTTCTGGGTCATCTGTCAGCTTCACACCCATGAGAAGCTCACCTGCTCCATCAACCCCGGGATCTTCTTCTACCGGGCTAACCTCTCCGAGGAATACCCGCACTCTAGCCTTACGGATACCGAAGCAGAGCCGATAGTCAGCCTTCTCTAAGGCGTCTAGTGACTCTGCACAAATAGCTAGTAGAATGGGCTTATTTGTAGGCCTTCTTGGCTCTTCAACTTTTATAAGTTCCCATTCCTCGATCGCCGGTATGTCTTTGTTATGTAGCTTAAGACACCGCAGCAACTTTTCGCCTGGTTCATCCATCGGAGGCAGCCAGATGCGCGCACGTGGTCTCCTTGGAATGTCCTTAGCTGGGATCAGCTTGAGCTTCAAGCCGACAAAAGTGTCGCTGATCTTAGCGACGCACCCAGCAAGGAAATCCAGGGAGAACTGGTTCGCGCACTTGACTACCCGGTATCCCCGTAGGGATTCCGACGAGTCGAACTCTGGGTGAGGACCTTCGGGGTTGTCGAGTACGTGGTTCATTACGAGGCTCGACAGCCTCACATCAATCTCCACCCATTTTTGCTGCACTGCTAGCGGTGTCTTGCTATTTTCATCTATTATCGCCGCCTGTAGATGATCTCTGGCGACGTCACTAAAATAGCGATGCTTCGCGGGTGCTGCGGACTCCGCAACACCACCTTGCTTTGCCTTCTTTGCGATGGCCCCTTGGCCGCCTTCGTTATGAGAGCGGTTCCGCTTCTTCGCTTCGGTGGCCTCGATTGTGGCTGCACGATCTGCCTGTAGCTTTTCGTACTCTTCCACTATTTGCCTGTATTTTGCCTTGTCTTCCTCGTCACGCTCATGCACCGTACCGGCCGCTGCATTTTTGTCAATTTTATTTAACATATACAGCGCCTTCTGGTACATCTGTCTCATGACCACGCCCGAGGGTTTTCTTTTCTTAGAGGCGGGGTTGCTGCCTGTAACGGCCGCCGATTTGCTGGTTGTTGGCTGCTCGTCCGGAGTACTACGGCAGGCACTACCGGTGCTATTTTTAACTATTTGCAGAGTGGTGATACTTTGTCTGGCATCTTCCACCCTGCTGGTTTCTGGCGCTTGTACAACTGGGGTACTATGGCTGGCGCCACCATGAGTACTTGCAGCCATCTTACCTGACCTTGGGGATTTGAGGAGCTGCTCCTCCTCTGACAGCGTTACGTCGTCCCCTTCTTCGCCGGTACGCTGTTCCTGTTGCTGTTGTTGGTTTGTTTGTTGTTGTTGTTTGTTTGTTTTTGTTTGTTTTTGTTCCATATGTGGTCCCACGAGTAGTCCGGAAAGGGTTAGTCACTCGTCCGCAGAGCCGGCATGCATAGAGAAGGCACTTCTTACAACCGACCTTGCCCGGGCATCGGAGGGGACCGTACGCGACCAGCCATTTTTTACTACCCGCTGGCCATTCATCCATCGGCACGGTTGCCTACACACCTTGGCTTGGGTAGTGTTGGTACGGTAATCCTGCCATTTCCACCTTCAGCAATAAAAACAACACTCCAGCTTGGATTGTTAAGGAATATTGCCGAAGGCTTCAATACCAGGCTTCCCTCTTAGTTCATGGAGGCATGATACAATTCACACTGTGAGTTATACCATGACACCATTTAAGCCCCCTCGCCACGGCAAGACGACCAACGCTGAGGAGGATATCGATGGATACTATCGAAATGTTTACCTAGCACAAAAATAGAATTTCGACACAAAACGAATTCTATAATGAACAAAAATCTTAAGGCAATGTCACACGATTGGTACACTTGTACAGATTTGTAAATTTTTTTATATTGGCTGTTGGTACAAAATGAAAAATTGAGACGACAATATTTTTGTAGTCACACGATTGGTACAATGCCGCTTTATTGGGAACGTAACGAGACGATTTGATGTTTTCAAGAAACTTGAATCATCATTCAGTTCCTTTTATGGAAATATGTATCTTGGTTAAACCTGCAAAAACAACCAGCATATTTCGCATCATTACCTAATATATATGTAACACTCTGTTATAATTAATATTAAATTTCGTGCATCTAATAAAAAACATATTTTGGCCCGGCTCTCGATAGCCTGAGTCTACTAGCTTTTTAACAAAAAGACCTGAAAAACTACTTAATTTTTTAACAAATAAACCGAATCATTAAGTGTAGTTTACAAACAATTGATCAGTACATACGAAATATTCCAATAAATTAAATACATTCTAGACACTTGTTAAAAATATATGAACCGAAATCGATTCGAAAGGTATTGGAAATACTGGTATAGTGATAAGGAATTCTGATTACAATACGAAAAATGTTCAAAATTCTGTGAAGCATAGGCTCAATTAGTTACAGTCTAAGGACGATTAGTTAATCCAAAGGTTAGCGATTTCCTGTCGTTCAAGCCAGTGCGTTCGCACTGATTAAGAGCAAGATACAAATCTTACAAATATTGTTTCAGTTCCAGCCGAACCACACACAAAACCTCCCCTCCCCTTGGGTGCGCCTACGTATTTATATACTTGTACATATATGTATGTATATGCTCTTCATGTATGCACCCTAGAACAAATGGGTGGGGGTGCAATAACACCATACGAAATAAAGCCATATGGTCTTGTTTTCATTTTGTTTTGGAAATAAGACCATATGACGTTATTTCCCATCCAGAAGTGAAATAAAGTCATATTCAAATTGTACAAATGAGTAATAAAATCATAATTGAAATTACAACCGCTTCAACTAAAATGCATGTCTGCCTACACTATTTGTGGATCACATTTTTCCTATTAATTGAGCATGGCATAGTGGTTTAGTTTGTATGGAGCAACGGTCAAAACTCGTTTTCTCGGAAACTAAATGATATTTCGCAATAAAATTTGGTACACTTTGCCTAGGCTAGTTTAGTATTGAAAATGGGTAAAATCGGATCAAAACTGCGCTTGCCTTCCATATAACGATATTTTTGGAAAAATGAAAACTGCAATACGTTTTCTTTTTCCTACGCGCCTCTTTCCAAAACCGTCGAAGCATTTTAGATATATTTTTGACGCGCAAATCAGTATCACCAGTTTTCACATTTTCTAAATCTAGTAATGCCGCTAATAGATGTACCAAAACTTTCTCATTTTTTCCACATATTTACCACTCAGGAGATACCAGAACTCAAACACTTCATTTCTTGAAAAGGAAGAGATGATGCTATTCAATTCCTTCATTTTCTGCAGGATCGTCATTAGGTAAACTGCATTTCCAAAGATTTTTTCAAAATAAATAGCGATGATGATTACTTTCAGTTTACTTTCAAAATTACAATTCAGAATTGCGTTTTGTGCCAAATATGAAGGTGACGGGTAATAAGATCAACGGAAATAAGGTCAATTGACTTTATTTCACACCCTGGTGCGAAATAAAGTCAACTGACATTATTACCTTTTTAAAAACGAAATAAAATCCATTGACATTATTTCTCTTTCAAACATTAAATATGCTTAGCTTCGCGGCGACCCGCGTTAGCGCGCCACACCGCGCGAGCCGCGCCTGCGCCCGCGCCCCGCGTAACCCGCGCACCTCTCGCGACCGGCGCGCACACCACGTCACGCTACGCCACGGCCCCCGCGTATTAATGAATTCAAGCCCTCGATTTTCACCTTTTTATATTTGTAAGTTATTGGAAGCAGGGATGCCAACTTGGCTCAAACCGTGCCATCTGTCCCTATTTTACTTCAAATGGCACTTAATTTTTCAATTTGGCACAAAGTGCCAAAATGCCACTTTTGTAAAAAAAATAACATTTCAATACATTTTTGTGAAATCCTTTGCGTGCACTGCTTTTTCTCAACTAAAATTTTCTAATTTATAAAGGCTATTCAACGGGTTTATCTTATTTTATCATTGCACTTTTTTTTGGAAAATTTAGCTTTATTTTATTGCTAAATGTGAATAATTAAAAGGAATGACACCTTTTTTGGCGCTTTTATTTTTCTATTTGGCACATTTTGGCACTTTTTTATCCTCAATATGGCACCTCATAACTAAGGATAGTTGGCAGCCCTGATTGGAAGGTTTCTGCTGTGTTTTGGGGCAACAACTTGTCTGCAGAAAACCAATCAATTAACTTATATGATCTCGGTTCCGATATTAAATAATCAATAATTGTTTATACCCGCATTTTGGCACATTGGCTCGTTGAATGTGCCATCTAATAAATAGTGTCGTCATTCTCCTTAGCTGCTTTTAAATGATGTCGTCACAAATTGAAGGCGGAGACATGAATAGCGTGTAATAAAATTCTTTTTCTATAATTGTTTCCTTATAGAAAGGTTGGTTTCTTTTCCACCTTAGACATTCCGAATTCGTCCAAAATATGCTAATTTAAAACATTTAAAAAACTTAATAGTGTTCGCTTTATTTTTGTGGAAACGAAACATGTTTTGCAAGTTATGGATCATTTCCTCACTCTTTCTTCAAATATTTCTCGTATTCCAGCTGTGCGCGGGCGTTTAGTTTTTCGCATCGTGTTTTTACATATTCGTAATTTAAATTTTTTTAATAAAATCAATTGGTGGTAGTTCATGATTGTATGTGGATTAATATCACATCACTGAGGATTCCCTGTAGGGATAACACGAACTAGTGATCCAGATTTGTAGTTCAGTACTAGTTCTTTATTGACAAAAACGAACCAGTCCGATAGTAACTAGTTCCGCACCAGTCCAAAAGCAGTGAAATGTGGTACTTTCACTAAACTATTCTATTTTAAATTTTAAAAGCAG